TTATCACTCGTGTTTTTATAATCCTAGTCGATTTTATTGTAAGAACTAGCAAAATTAAGATGATTTACGAGAAGAACTTTTTAATAAGATGAACACGCATTCAAATAGACATCCATGTTGCTATAGGGAACAACCCTAGTGGTATCCATGAGTAAGAGAACATTCTGGTTGATTTTAATGGATTTTTTTATAACAGATAATGGCATCCTCATATTCTATGTAATTTGTTTGAGCTGAGAATAAATGAGTGAGCCTTTCGGATCCGTTATTGTTTGATCAAGCAGAATGTCATACACGCTTTGAGTTTGGTTGTATTGCTTCTATTTAATCAACAACATACTCAACGGATTTCATTCTTTCTTCTGAAGATAAATCTCTTTTCACGTATTTGCTTAGTAATTTCGTGGAGTTCTAAGTTTTTTTCAGTGACCAACGTAAGATAATAAAAGTCCATCTTGTGTCTTGATTACTTGATCAAAGTCTATCTGTAACAAATTTTGGAAAGATGATGGTAGTATTCGTGAACCTGTTTGTCGACTGTTTGAACTCATTTCGAGTCCTTAACGAAAGGGTTGTGACAAATAAATGACGATGAGTTCGACTATGCCGTGTATGAAATGAACAATTGTTTCTCCAATTGTATTCGAAGAAATCATAAGCGCTTTCTCTTCTTTAACATTGCTGATAGAATTGGTACATTTATCTGCATCAGTGAACGTATTGGCTTTATTTCGTATTCCTTTTCATTTTGACATTGTCTTTGTTCTTCTCTACATGATTACTAATGTCAAGACAGATCTAGCAAAAATTTGTGCGTTGTACGTGTAAAAGATAGCTGTCATGTTGTTATACTCGTATGTTCAGTTGGTACAGAATCTCTGGTGAGGGGAACATGAAGATTCATATATTAGTTAAGTTCGTTAGTAATGATCGTTTTTGTTACTTCAATGTACATCCATTGTAACAAACAACAGCTAGTAGAACATTCGTATAGATTCCTTTTGCAGCAAATAAAATAAAAACAAAACATTTCTGCCCTTGTCAAAAAAAAGTATTGATTGTTCATTTTTACTTTGTTTTTTTTTCTCTCAAGAATTCACTTAGAGAACAAAACAAATGAGCATTGCTCCAAAACTTTTTGTTATTATTACTCACAGATTCTCTTTTTACTCTAAGTGTATGTAGTATGTTTTATGCATCACTTTCGACAAAAAAATTATCATGCATTCGTTCATTTTGCACTTGTTCGTAGCTCAATATAACAGCAGATGTCTACTTCGACTGTAAAAACTAATAGAATGAACATGCAATTCATGACTTTCCGCTCACTTCCTATACACGTTGATAGTACACAAAGTTTTGACATCAACAACTAGACAGTTCAGTTTTATCGATAGATCGACAAGTGAAATAAAATAAATGCTTGACATTGTAATTAAATAGTAAATTGACAAAAAAATGAAGGACAATAAAATATATTATGATTGGACACAAGAACAATCAAAGATTTTGTTTTTTTCATTCTTTATGTCGTTCATCGGTCGGGATTCTTCAATAACTTTCTAACATTATTTGTCCTTCATCTTATCATCATCGATGAAAATGAAATAAGAAAAATATTTAATTAGAATTATAATTAGTCAACATAATGGTTCACTAAGCGTATAAACTAACCTTTTTTTATTGTCAAATAACTTACATAGATGACAAAAAAAAAAGATCTATGATGAAATAATGGTGAAATCAAAGAGAAAAAAAAAGAAGCATGGAACCACAGACGAGAAGAAGAACAAGAAAAAAAATACGCGTCTGCCAGGTTCGTTGGAAAATTATATGCGTTTGTGTTATTAAAAAATTTTTTACTCTGCACTATTATTCTTGCCTGTTCTTTCTTTGTTCGTCTTATATCATATATCTTCATCGTCGTTTTCTTTTTTTTTTTTTTCTTTTTGAATCAATAATGATGAGGCAATCAAGTTCAATGAGCGAAACATTCAGCAACGCTTGACTAGTTTTTTATATCTTCTCATTTTTATTTTATACATCAGTCGTATTTATCACTAGACAATCAACAATTCAACAACCCTATATAATGAAATAACAAAAAAAAAAAAACGATGGATATTGATGATAATAATGAAGATTTTATTCATACGAAAACCGTTTTTCGACGTCATTCAAAAGGTCCTGTTATGTTTAATGGATGTTCACCATTAGGTGATGTTATTATAATTGATAATATTAGTCAAAAAAAATCCTATGATCTAACTGGATGGTATATTGAACGACAAACAGATTCTCAACAATTTCTTCGATATACATTTACAGATAAATTTATTCTTCCACCAATGACAACAATTGAATTATGGTCAAGTACATCAACACCTATATCAATATCAAATGAAAAAGAACATAATCAATCATCAAAATCACATGAACAACAACAAACATTTGTTTTAATTAAAACAAAATTATTAACATGGAATACTGCTCGACAATGGAGTATTAATCAACTGTTTGATTCTCATGGACACGAAAAGGCTATTTTTTCTCATCGAACATTGACACCAATAGAACATGAAAAAGAAGAATAAATAATAAAGCAAATAGAATATAATATTAAATCAAGTCAAAATGATTTTAAAAAAGAAAAGGTTGCTTTATAACAATTCATTTTCAACTTTGAAATTTAAAACGATAAAGATTTTTTTTTTTTTGAAAAGGATTTTAAAACACTTGAAAAAGAAGCTTAAAAAAAATATTAAATTTTCCTATCATTTTTTCTTCATTGGTCGATTAATTTCATAGATATGTGTGTGTGTGTGAGTGTATATTCGAAATATTTCAACGTAAATATTAACAAGCAATATTATTTTTATCATATGCAGATGTTTGAAAAATATTCGTGTGTTTCATACTCTCACGATAAATTTTCTAAGTGTAAGGTAGGCGAGAGAAGGTAGGTGTAAACAGATGTCGATTTTCTCAATATGCTGAAAGCTTTCTTATATATTAGCAATATTATAGTATTATTGTTTGATAAATCGATTTTCTTATACTTCTCTTTACTGCTTCGAAACAACCGAAACTTACCGACAATAAGATGAAGTGTTTGGCATTAATCGCTGTTCTTTGCTTTTTTGGTATGAGTGCTGGACAAGGAATAACAATGGATTTTCTTAATGATAATGTCGTTAATCCTATGCTTCAACAAATTCAAACCAGTTAGTAAACTAAATAATTTTAATGTATTTTCTTAGGATTTTCTTTTTAATACAGATGCACTTGGCATGCTTAGTCAACAAATAAGCGGTCTCTTTTCAAGCCTTTTTACAGACCTTTTTGGCAAACGTGATTTATCAGATCGCTTGAACATTAATCTTAAAGAAGTAAGAAGAAAAGGTCCAAATTAATTAAAGAAAAAATCAAAAAAATTCATTTCTTTTTTTTTAACAAGGTTTTGGCTCCATTTATCGCTCAAGTTAAAGCAATCTATCAACGTTTATTTACAGTCTTTGTTCAAATTGTTCAACATGTTGAAGATGTAAGTTTTTCAATATAATTTTTCTTTTAATGATTAAGTATATGTTTCTTTTTAGTGGATCCAAAAACCTGATTGGGCACGTATCGAATTTGTTCGTGCTGGTGCTGAAGCTGAAGCTGCAGTTTCAAAACTCCATCTTGGTGCTGAAGTAAGAAAATAATTAAATATTGAAGTATTCAATAAGAAATATCATAAATGTACATTTTAGTTTTTACAACCACTCGTTAACCTTGTTCAAACTCATTTACACGCTCTTATCCCCGATTTTGAAGCAATCATTGTCCAACTTTTCGGCTCTCTTCAAAATCCAGTTCAATCACTCATTGGTACTGGCAGTCTTTTACAACCATAAATAAATAAATAAATAAATAAACAAATAAACGATTTATCTTTCATTTTTTTCTTCCCTGTTTAATGATGTTATCCATAAATTCTATTAAATGATTATTGCTATTTTGATGATGAGCTATTTTATTTGTTTTTGTACATAATTAACCAAAGAAAATTTTCTAAAGTTATTTGCGTCATGAATTCAAATGATTGATCAAAATAGATCGATCATATTCACCAAAGAAAAAAATCGATAGATATTAATAACCGACTTTTTCATACTATAGAAACTAGTGTCCTTGATTGACAATTAAGATAAGATAGATTAGCTTATATCGATTTTAGTCAGTTCCAAATTTAGTTCTAATTAACTTTTCAACTAAGATCAATAAAGATAAGAATTAAAGTTGGAGGTATATAATACTTTCATCGCTTAAGATTCACAAGCTATTGACAAAGTATCACAAGCATCAAAGTCGATCAGGTTCAGATTCGAAAATTTTGAATCCTATGGGTTCTATCATATGGTAAAAACTTCTTTAATGAAGAAATAAAGTCTATTATGTTTTGGTTATTCTTTTTCTTAATTACTTACATATGTCACTCACTTGTTCAACATATAAAAAAGAAAAACAAGAAATCATTTCTCTTACTTATCAAACGTATGAGCAAATCAGGAATGGATTCAATTTAGAAAAAATTAAGTTTGGACAAATCAATCAGGAATGCTAGAAACTAGATATAGATAAGATAGAACCAAGACCAACATTCTTTTTCATTGTGAACGTTAGATGGTTTCGATCTTGACGGAATCGGAACCAAAAAAGACTGATCGTACTCATGTATAATTGAAAAACTCTTAAGAAAGATCAAAGCTATATGATTCAGAAAAAGTCTCACAAGCAACTCATTCATATTTTAGTTATAAAAAACAACTTTTCTTTTGTGACGAATAATAAAAGAGTGACGAGATAGTTTAAAAGTTTGCCCAAATAAAATGTTCGAAGTGTCGATTGTGAAAATGACAAATTATAAGCGAGAATGATTTTATTCAGATTAGAAAAAAACAACAAATCTTCAATGACAAGAAAGAAGAGTGAGTTATATAAAACCGAATCACAAAAGATTATGATGTTGATTTGACATATTGTAAATCAAACCTACGAAGAAAACACTTTTTTTTTTTTCTTTGCAATTTTAAATCTTCTTCTTACCAGTTATTTGTTTCTATAGCATGATTTTTAAGATTATGTAAAGGAATTAATATCTTAAATAAATTCAAAAAGTAAATCAATACTTCATTATAAAAATAGTTTTCTTACCTCTCTATCACGAGGTGTTGATGGATCAGAATGATTACTAACAAAAATATATAATTTTTTTTTAATAACTTTTTCATATGTAATACAAAATATCACAGGCTCTTTCCATAGTATAGGTGCGTTTTCACTAATAAATCTTTTATGTTTTTCAACATCATGTTCATTAATATCATTTTCAATTAATGAAAATGTTAAACACATATCTCGTGCAGTTACTTGTTCAGGTCTTATTATACCTTGTGCATTAATTATTTGAATAATTAATTGACTTCGTTCATCATCATATCGTATTGATAAATTTAATCGACCAGGTTTTGAATCAGGATGTACGACAGGGTCATATTCTGATATACATTCTTCATGGTGATGTTTTGTTGAATCATCTGTTTTGTGGTGTTTACCTAATTGAATATCATGAACACACGAACGAAAATATTCATCTTGTAATCGATATATATCTGATTTTTCTTTAATAATTTCACCAGTTGGTTGATGTTCAACAGTAAGAATTCGGTTGTCAGAATTGAAATTTATTATTTCATCAGGTTCACCTTGAGGTATGGGTTGATCATTTTCTAAGCCTTGAAGATTTGATGAATCTGGTTGTTTATCCTGGAAATAAATTATAATTGAATATTATTAAAATTTTCTTTTTATTTTTGATTCTATTTGTAAAGAGAAAAGTTAAATTTGAATTCATTATCCTTGTTTTTTGTTAACTCTTTACCTACCATGATATAATCAATTTGGTAACGATAGCAAAAAAAATTACACTTAAATATCAATGTGTAAAACAGAATAAAGAAATAATGATAAGAAAACGGTCATAAAAAAACGACGTCAACAAAAATAAAATACGTAAAAGACAGAATAAAAAAATAATGATGAGAAAACAGCAAGTATGCTCTTCATCGAAAACAAGATCATCGAAGAGCATTACATTCAAGAAAACGATCATAAAAAAAGAAGGTCAACAAAAATAAAATACATAAAAGAAAAATATGAAAAAATATATTTTGATCGTGCTTACCATACTAATATTTTTTTTTATCAAATTAACGTGACTCACCAATAAAATAAATTATTTAGCTGATAACTTTAACCCTCTAACGTGAATGGTTTTCAAAGAGTAGCTGCCTAATATCACGTGTATCGATAAGACGGATATATAAGACATTCAAAAAAAAAGAAAAAAACCAAATCAACATCCTTAAAAAAAGACGAACAAGAATAGACATAACGTGGACGATGACTTATTATTGAAAAAGAAGATTGATACAGAAATGGTTTCAACAGAAAAACGACAAAAAGACGAATAGTACGAGAATGTCTCCGAAAATTCAGCACAGCATCTAATATCTTACACAGTAAACAGATTCACAATACAAAAAAAAAAGAAATGTAACTAATTGTGAAAATGAAGGAAAGAACTGATTATTAGACAATGTCTGTTGAATTTTATTATAGTCGTTGATACCATCCCATCTAAAATTGTGAAGTTATGCTAGTACCATATGTTCTCGAAAGAAAAAAAAAGCTGTTAGTGCAATCTTTGAGGGATTAAAAAGACATATTTCTTCACCCTCCTATTAATTCTTCAGAAATGCAAAAAGACATTACCTCATGCATTGTAACAAAACGCTTTTAGATATATAATCTGCGATCATATATCAATGATATCTGTCGTGGTAGATAAGTCTTTGGCTGGCGTCTATCATGCTCTGTGGGAGGAAGGGAGTTGAAATTTTTAGTCCTATACTTCAAAACTTATGTGAGATGGTGTTTCACAAAAGTATTGAATTAATTCAAGATTATAAAATACTATACATGATGATAAGCTTTAGGAAGAAAATCTCAATGATGGAATACATTATCACGGCATTCTCTCGATGAGTTATGATGAACGGCCTATTTTGGTACAACATAGGGTGTGGGTGTCTTCGTTTTATTCAAACCTACGACTACACTCACACCCACATCCCACGCCCTCGTAATTCGCTCACGGTAACTGATACTACAAAAACGTAGATTTTCAGGAAGAATATCCAAATGTTTTGTAATTAGTACGAGTTATCGTCAGCGAAAGAATAGTTGTTTTTATAAGAAAGTCACTGTTCTTTCTTTTCCTCTTTGCTATTATTGATTGTTCTTTCTTAATTTGTTTGTCATTCTTTTTTTTTAATATTGATTTGAAGCAATATGACACAGCGAGTGCAAAAAAAAAATCAAATAAAGTATTTGAAGTGTTTACAAGTTCAAAAGAAAAAAATCAATTGATATGTCTTCTTTTTAAATGAAGAAAATAATCATAATAATAATTCTAATATAAGTCAAATTCATTTCCGGTTGACAATTGAGAATAGATGAGATCATTATTTCGGCTTCCTGTGTTAAATCTATTATTGTTCTTTCGCATTATATAACGATTGTATAATACATATGTAAATCCAACAGATAAGAGAACAACTGTGATTGCAAAAATGAAAATTGATACAAAATGTATGGTCACAGATTTTATGGGTTTTTGAAAACTTGATTCATCATTGATTGAGCATTTAGTATAATCACTATAAAATAAATACACTATACATTATCAAGCTTGAGAAAGTAATTTGATACGTCTAAACAAGTGGAATAACGGATTTAGTTTATTTTTGTCGCAATTTTCGGTATTCATAATTATATTACTTCAGAAACTGCAATTCACTTCTTCCACTGACAATCAAAATCTATACTAATGACATTGTTGGAAAAAAATCATATAAGCTCATTTCCATTCTAACCATAAAGAACTGCAGATTATCCATGAAAAGTAGAAGTTAGCACTTTATGTTTAATTCTTTTTAATAGAAATGTCTAAAGTAAAGATTAAAGAGATTCTCAGTCAGCATAAAGAGTACCAGAAAATTCTAAGCATGTATGCCTATAGTCTGTGAGTATATAGTTCGTTATTCATCACTTTTAGAGTCATTTAATTAGGGTAACATTATGATATAACGGCATGAAAACTTCTCGTGAAATATAAGAACAACAAAAAAATGTATTACCTACCTTTGAGACTACTATCGGATATCGCATCGAAAATTTCTCTCGGTTACCATGCGATTTGCGGTAAAAGCTTAACCTACCCGTCTCTACTTTACAAAAACGTATTGATTGTATTAATAAATATTTGCCTATCTATCAATTGGCTCGAGCATTATACAATATATACATCAAATAAATGTACATATCTACAAAGAACGAGTCTTTATTCTGAGGATTCTAGACGTATATAAATAAATTTTATAGTCACCACAGAGAAAACTAATTATACTTTGCCTATATCTTATGAATGACTAACCATTGAGCTACAATCACACGCTTTTTTCGAATGGGTACTTTTTGACATATTACAGTTGCTAGCCGGTTACAAGGTATTTCATCACATAAAATCGATAGTGTGTATTCAGATCGAAAATCAACATATGCACAACCAGTCTGTTCAGTTTTTAATTGATTTTTTTCTATTTCTGATATATTTGGCGATGACATCAATCTTGCATAATGTTGTCGAAATGTGAATTCACATAAAGTATAAAGAGAAGAGGAATCCAATATCCTTGGTAAAGTATTTATATCAGTTGTATTAGTTTGTATTACAATAAGCTTTTGATTATCATAAATAACACCAATATGTGCAACACCAGATGATGTATAACTATATCGACGTAAAAATAAGGATTTTATCAAGTTTAATGTCATCATTTGTTCAGGTACAAATAACATAGCATTATCACGTTCACATTCAGATTTTGCATCTTGCCAAGTTGTTTCATGAAATAATACTTTATAGCAATACTCACCCATCAAATGATAATGTGTGTCATCATCACATGAATAATCTGTTGATATATTAATGGATATAATTAATGAATTGCCATCTTTAGTTGAAGGAATAACAGTTGAATTAAATTCTAGATGTCG